CTGCCAATAGGTGAGCAGAAGAGCAAATCAGAAGGAAATTTGCTGTGATTCTCTTGCTTGTAAAGAGATCAACAGAGTAGCCCTTTAAAGAAGGCAGCTTTTTTGCTTGGGAAGAATAAGCTGAATGCTAAACATCTACCGTATATATCAGTGATGGTGAACCTTTTAGAGACCAAGTGCCCAAAAAACGCCCTGCCCCCAGCCCACCCACCTGCTCTGCCGCCTGCCCCTGCTCCACCCCTGCTCCGCTCCCGCCCACTAACAAGGCTACCCACCACCGCCATGGCCCACCACAGATCGCCCAGGCAGCCCTGTAGCGCCATGGCAGCCATGCCCTCCACCCACACCCAGCAGCAGCATCTGCGAGCGTCGGGGCGCAAAGGCGGAGTCTTGTCCCTGCTGCCTGGATGCCATGTTCTTGGCTGCGCTGCTCCGCGTGGGCCGTGCCCGGGGGTGATTCTCCGGGGGGGCTGCTGGTGAGGGGCTGGGACAACGGCACGCGTGCCCACACAGAGGGCTCTGAATGCCGCCTCTGGCACGCGTGCCATAGGTTCGCCACCACTGATATATATCCAAGGATTGACTGTTTTCCATGGCTGCACGGAAACAAAGATAAAATATAAACCAAGGGTTCTCTTTTGGCAAGAACACCATCTTGCTCACCTGACCAACTGTTGGTCTACAGCAGGGATAGGCAACCTTGGCTCTTTTATGACTTGTGGACTTCAACAACTCCCAGAATTCCTGAGCCAGCTATGCTTTCTGGTAATATCCCCAGAAGGCAAAACCAATGTTGGGCTTTTTTTCCCCTTGTGGCTTAGGAAGAAAGGGAGTAGGAGGTGAACTGCTTCCAATGTGACTTTTAAAATTGATTTAGGGAATTTGGTGGAGAGATCTGAGGGCGGACATGGCTATGATTAGCCTCCCAGAGACTTTTCCATGCTTGTTCTCATCCTTTTTTTTTTTTTAATTCTACATTCCAGAAAATAGGCTGTTTTGCCATTAGACAGCATGATTTTGAAGGCACTGGAGACCTGCATGAAGGCTATACCCCAGTGATGGCGAACCTTTTAGAGACCGAATGCCCAAAACCCACCCCCTGCCCCCGCTCCGCCTCCCATCCTGCCTGCTCCGCCCCTGCCCACCCCCACCCCGCCCACCCGCAGGGCCACGCACCGCCTCCATGGCCTGCCACAGCAGATCGCCCAGGTAGCCTTGCAGTGCCATAGCAGCCATGCCCTCCGCCCACCCCCTGCAGCAGCATCTGCACACTATGGAGTGCAAAGGCGGAGTCTTGTCCCCACTGCCTGGCTATATCCTTGCCTGCACTGCTCCGTGTGTGCTGCATCCGGGGGTGACTCTCCTCCAGGGGGGCTGCTGGTGAGGAGGGGGCTGCGGGGGGAGGAGGGGCTGGGGCGACGGCGTGCGTGCCCACAGAGAGGGCTCCGAGTGCCGCCTCTGGCACGCGTGCCATAGGTTTGCCACCACTGCTATACCTCCACCCCCAGGAATAAAGATGAACCCTAAAGACCTGGCTGGGCCCAGAGGGAGGTGATCCTCTTTCAGAAATGTTCCCAGGAGGTTATCGAGCATGGCACCAGCCTAGACCACAGTCCGGGGAGGGAGTGTGGCTACTGTTATCAGATAATCTCTGGCAGCCTTCAGGGACATGGCCCCACAGGTGTCTGGCGGTGAGACCCTCTTTCTTAGGTTGGGTTCAAGGGATCAAGTAGGGGTGCTGCTGCTGTACCAGCCTCCCTGCTGTATGGCAGCTTCCCTACCTATCACAAAAATCTGGTAAACTAACATTCTGAGTTGGGAAGACATTACGGTCTGAATAAAATATGAAAAGATATACTATTGTACCTTGCTTACACCACTGGGTCTCAACCATGTATTTCTTAGCCTATCCATCACCCAGTGGAACTGGGACCTATTATGATGGAATCAAAGCACCCATTTTCCCCCCAAGGATCCTTATAAGTGTATGTAATTTTTTTTTTATTCTTCATGAAAAGTTAAAAAAATAACTAATTAAAATGTCAGGGACTTATCTCGTCTCCATCTTAAATTATTTGAGTCACCTCTTCGATATGTTGACCCCTGAGAATTGTACAGCATTGTCCTCTTAGCAAAGCATTGATTCAGAATGTAGTTCCTTCAGCAGACTACATGTACTTCTCCCTGTACCCATACAAGAATTGGAAATACACCCTTTTAAACTGAAAGGGAAGGTGCTAAATTGTCCTCTGCGTGCCAACTTTGTAAGTACCCTGATTATACCTAGTTTTGGTGGCACACTAAACATGAATCCTGTTCAGATAATATGAAGAATATAACTCTTTCTTCCAGTCACTGATTTGCCTTTGTATACCAACAACACATCACACAGGAGGCCAAGTCAGTCACATGGTCACCCATTTTTAATTTTAGCTGCCACAAAGGAGATTAGGATGCTGTTTGTCACTTCCACCAATCCAGCTTCCTGCCTCTCCATAGGATAAAATAGAAATTGGGCCTCTGTCATCTTAGCCTTGGGAGTGGGAAAAATGAAGATACAGTGATAAGTAGTTTGCATGATCTTGGACTGTTTGGGGCTAAAGTTAATTAGTCCTCTGAATTAAGGTCATTTTTTTTAGGATAGACTGTTTGCAGATCATGCTTACCCTACCCTGATCCTATTAGACTAGATGCACAACCACATAACATTCAGCCAGCCAACTATTTGTATAGGAGAAACTATATTAGAGCACATGAGCATAGATGGTGGAGGCAAAGAACAGCCATCTCTGATGGCTTTCCTGTTGTTATAAAGTTGGCTGGGCAACTATCATTTTTTGCTGTTTATTTTTAAACTGTGTATTTATCTTGGGAATCTAAAATTAATTGCTAGGTTGAAGTGGCAGAAGCAAAATAAGGAAGAAATATTTACAACTGCCTTGTTGTTTACCTTTCCAAACTCAACGTTTAGGAAAAAGAGGACTAATAATATATAGGATCATAGTTCTGTTTATTAAAATAATGTCAGACTGCCAGTATTTTGGCCTCTATGTTAGGCATCTTCTAAAAGTATGTGACTTGTGCATCGGAAGTCTGCTGAATGTGATACCTTGCCATCATGTTAGTTCATTTCTGGAGGAGAGAAAAAGTTATTAAAGTGTCCAAACACTTAATGACTGAGCACCTGGCTCTAGATAAGCATGTCTTGCTTCTGGAATTCTACCAGCATATAAGTAAATTCTATCTTCACAATTATGAACATTAATAACCTCCTTAACACAGTGTTAATATTAAATATAACCTCTTCAACAGGCTAAATTCTTGACCACTTCAGAATCTTACGCACAGTCCTACCTAAAGTTGTAAGTAGGGCTTTTCTGAATTCGTATCAAAGATTTTTTCGTTCTAAAATATGTCTTACACTTTTGGAACAGGTATCACTTTATCATCACCAATAGAGCATTCTCAGAAACTATTATTTCTTCCCTTAGGAAGGTATTAACCCTAAGTTTACCAATTTTGTATTCAATTTATTTCTATTTAAATGGTGATGCTGGTCAGAAAACAGAAGTGGGACATCAGCCACTGAGATAAAGAATTGCTATCTATTTTGCCTCCTACAGTTCCAGAACCTTTAATAGATACAATTGAGTAAGTTAAGTTTGTCTGTCTATATCTAAGGCCAGGTCTCAATAAAATAAAAGTAGCAGCAGCCAATAAAAAGTGAGCTCATTTGCTACAAGTCCCCACAATGCACGAACCACATTTACATTTTTCTCCTTTTGCTCACATCTCCATCTGCATTCCAGAGCTTCGTCCATGACTTTTCCTTCTTTAATATTATAATTGGAAGGTATGTTTGTTACCTAGATCACATCAGTCAGTCTACACGCAAGCACGGAACAATGACGTTCCATACTTTTGGGAGTTGTCTGCTTGCCATAATTTATAAAAATGAATCTCAGAATAAAACTTTAGGTAGTGTAACTCAGAAGTCATACTAGAATTAGTGACATGATTACAAAAGCCCCAACCATAAATTCTGCTAACTCCTTTCAAGAATTACTAGTCACAAGCTGGGAAAGTTGCCCTTTCTGACCTCTTACGAGATATGTGGCCATTTAAGCTAGATGGTGCCAAAGGCCCAACATGAAAAAAGTTTATCCTTATCACATCCTTATCCTTCAAATTCTACTGGAGGTGAGCTAGGACAGAAATGAGAGGATGACATCTAGTATCGCAGATGGATTGACAGCTGGTTGGGTTTTAATATAAAGCAGTAGAAGCTGACAGAGCTATCATCATTGCCAATCTAGGAAGATTACCAGCTCATACCATTATTCCAACAGTAATCCTGTATATTGTCTGATGCCTGCTAATCTTATGATGATCTGTCTGCTTTTCCAGTCTCTGCCTGATATTTCCTAGGCAGAGAATAACTGCATTTAAATCATCATAAAGAGTAAAGTCAACCATTATCCTAACCAGGCCTTGAACATACCAGGTGTGTTCAGTTTCTGTCTCATCTGAATTGTTTGGAAGCTATTCTTTCTGAAAAGAGAGCTATTCCTCTTTTACCTGGTTAGCAAAGGACAGTTCATCATTACTTGGAAAAGATTTATCCAACTGCTGCACGCAGAGTCATCTGCATTATTTCAGCTACTTCAAAAGATTACTGTTTGCAGATAAAGGAAAACCAGCCCTATAATAAAGGAAAAGGCAAGATTACTCTTCCTGCCTTTTCTTTCCTAAAATTACAATTCCATCTATAAATGCCTCTTCTCTTTTTGGAGTGTTGTTTATAAAAACACAAACAGAGAGCATGATGAGCTTTCATTAGTATATCATCATCGACCTTCATGTCCACTTTTTAGTCAGTAGTAGAGGAATAAAAAAAGGAGTTGACTCTTTATCCTACAGAATGATTCATCCCTCTATAAGCAGCAGTATAAGAGTGATAAACATCTGGGAGTGGGAGAGAGAATCAAGCTAAGTTCCTCCTAGTCTTCCAGTTCTTTCTCCAGTTTGATCTCATGAGTTTTGAATGGACTTTTAGCTTGAGACTCAGTGGGCTGGAGGGCCTCACTTCCTTTTGGATATTCTTTTGAATGGCACCTCTGATGTTTCACCAGCACACCCCTCTGTCTGAATCTTCTCCCACACTCAAGGCAGCGGTACGGTTTTTCTCCTGTATGGATACGTTGGTGTGTAATGAGATCAGACAGCCTGGTGAATCTTCTGTCACACTCATCACAGGCGTAGGGTTTCTCTCCTGTGTGGATTTTTTGGTGCCGGGTAAGATCTGAAGGGTAGGCAAACTTCCTGCTGCACACCTTACAGGAAAATGGCTTCTCCCCCGAGTGTGTTCGCTGGTGCGAGACCAGGTTGGAGTGTTGGATGAACCTTTTCCCACACACCCCACAGGCGTGAGGCTTTTCTCCTGTGTGGATCCTTCTGTGTGTAGTGAGAGAAGAGGAGGACACAAAGCGTTTCCCACAGTCAGTGCAGGCATAGGGCTTCTGGCCCATGTGGTTCCTCTCGTGGATCTTCAGAGCAGACTGGTGGCTGAAGCATTTCTGGCAATAGGAACAGTGGTATGGCTGCTCTCCTGAGTGACTCCTTTGATGGCTGACAAGATACGCCCGTTGACTGAAGGTATCTCCACACTCGGAACAGATGTGAGGCTTCTCTCCTGTGTGGATTTTCTGATGTCTTGTGAGATGGGAAAGCTGGCTAAAGCTTTTCCCACACTCGACACAAAGGTACGGTCTTTCGCCTGTGTGAACGTTAAGATGTTTTGCCAGATCTGAGGGGCGAGTGAAGCTTTTGCCACATTCGATACAGATGTGACTTTTCTCTTTCCTTTGGGTTCCCCTTGAGACTGGATGGACTGCCACACTCCCCTCTTCCTTGGACTTCAGATGAGGCTGTTCCAGCTCCTCAGTTCTGCTAACTAGATTGGCACCTGTAAGGGGAGAAAGGTGGTCACAATGCAGCTCCACAGATCATGGCTAAGAAGGAGGTAGGCATCTCATAGATCAGTGTTGGCGAACCTTTTAGAGACCGAGTGCACAAAAACTTTCGGAGATTTAAGATTTTGAACAAACGAACATTTACATTTTTATTTATATAGATATAGATTTATGCTTTTAATATTTTATTATACACCACCCAGAGCCCCTCTGTGAGTGGGATGGGCGATTCTTAAATGTAACAAACAAATAAATCTTACGTTAGACCAGGATTTTGCCTTCCATAGTGTCCAACCACATCATTCTAGAAAGATCTCTTAAAGGAATGAAACTTCCCATAGCATCTGATACTGATGATGATATGGTATTGAATGATGGTTCTTGTAAAGTCAATTATAGGTCCTCAACTTACGACCACAATGTAGGCCAAAATTTCTGTTGCTAAGTAAGGCAGTTGTTAAGCGAATTCTGCCCATTTTTTGACCTTTCTTTCCACAGCTAAGTGAATCACTGCAGTTGTTAAGTGAGTAACATGGTTGTTAAGTGAATCTGGCTTCCCAGATGACTTTGCTTGTCTGTCAGAAGGTTGCAAAAGGGGGACTTCCGGTGGCGGGCGATTTCGCTGGTCGCAGCTGTTTGCTGCCTCCCGCCTGTTTTGCGTAAAAGCCGGTTTGACAGCCAGCATCAGCTGTCAAACGGCTTGATACCTTTCCCCTGGGCATAAGGGGATAGGTGAGCTGCCCGGGGTAGGAGTTGAGTTCCCGAGTCGTCCTATATGGACGATGTAGGCGAGAACTCCTCCGGAGCCCCGNTACTACTACTACTACTACTACTACTACTACTACTACTACTATAATATAAATATTTCTTAACCAGTGCTGCTTTCCACAGATCTGATGTCCTTCAAAAACCTACCATATCTGAAAGGCAACAGAAACCATGGACCATCAGTCAGTCAGCGATGTCTGTGACAGGTACTGGCTCTTTTGTATACTAACTTCAAAATTAGCTAGTTTTCTTTTTAGGACCATTAAATAAAACTTAATTTACTCCAAATTGCAGACTTGAATCTTACAGCTTCAGCAGACACAACTCTGCCTTTAAGTTCCGGTAATATCTCCATGGCCATAGAGCAAAATATAATTCCTCCAACTATCACCCTGGCTTCTACTCATTCCCAGGAACACCTAGATGGCATAAGTTCTATTAAAAATAACTCTGCATATAAGAGAGATCACTCGCCAATCTCTGAAGATTGTTTTAAGCGTCTGAAAGATGTAGACAAGGTAAGTTTCTCGGTGCATAAGTGCCAATGCAGCATGAGTATTAAAATTGATTGTCAAAGAGGACACAGTTACATGACTGATAACAAAACTTTGCTGAGGACTACAGCTTCAAACTAAGTGAAAGTTATTTTTGGAGTAACTATAAATAGAGATTGTGATCTCTTGGGAAAAACATCCAAATTGGTCAGACCTTAATAAGGGTGAAGATCTTAGTAGTAATAGCTCTGTAATGGGCATAAGTAATGTTCCTTATCTTCCCCCTCATCTGCCCTCATCTTACAGCTAATTTAACTGTTTGTATAATTTATATCAAACAAAAAGATTTTGTTTCCTGGCAATACATACAGGAGACATTCCTACCTTTGGAATTATTATCTTAGCTTAGATGTTGGGGAAGTGAAGTAAAGAATGAATGAAAAACCAGAATGATGTGTTGTGTGACAAGATGATTGTTTATGTTTGATGAGCCTTTGAAGTGTGGAAATGAAGAGCTAAACCTGGCTTTATATAATCTTCAATAATTTGGTGTAGTTTATCCAAATTCAGCCTGTTATAATATCAAGCTAGACATTAGTGTCAAGACTCAGAGATGGGAAGTAAGGGGCTTTTATATATCAAGATATACAATTTCAAGAGTCAGAGCAACTTAATTGTGAATTTATACTGGGACTAAATGTGGAAACTATTAGGCAAACCAATTTTACACAAAGTTACTTGGACTCATTTCAATTGTTAAAAACAACAAAGATTGATATTCAGATTATATTGGCAGAAAGGGGAGAAAATTTTGCTCAGTTTGAA